TGGTTTTATTGTATCCCAGCTACAACATGCCATGTGTCTAAAACACTTAATGTCGGCACCATGTGTGTGCAAAATAGGAGGACGACTGTGCCTTCATAAATCACGTAAACACCCGTATCTTGACGTATTTGTGTTAAACGACGAGTATAACGATCTGTGCAGGGCAATGTTAGGTCGACTAGTTTCGTCTTAGATAGTAATACCTATATAAGTTTATTTTTAATAAAAAGACCGACCTTAAAGAATGCGGTTAACGGAAAGTAGGTGAAATTCAATAAACCGTATTCACCCTCTAATTTGCTACCTTTAGTGGTGGAATATTTTCTTGTAATGGATGGAACCGCTAGAGAGGTACCCCCTTTCCAACAAAAAAGAATTCACAAATATCGGAGTAACTGCATAACGTATGCACGCAAAAAAAAGTACAGTCGAAAGGCGAACCTCCTTCTTTTTTTAAAGTCGGTTAAAATGTGCCAACAAGACGGCAACACGGCGATAATTAAAAACCTTCTTGGCTTCTGTTTTGTAAGCACCTGTTTGTCGTCTCTAGGTAAACGCACTGCTTCAGTCTATTTGAGAGATTGCAAGTAATAATATGGTTTATTTTGAAATCATAGCTGATGACTGTATTACCTCTTAAGGCAGTATCTTGACAGGAGAGTTATTCAGCTCTAGATATTGAACTTTTTCTGGTCCAAAGTTACGTATACTTTCCCGCAAGTTACACAGCAATCTCGTTCTTTTTTGCTTTTCTTAGGACGTCATCTGGCTATTGTTGAGGAGCAAGAAACTGGTATTATTCAGCTTTCCACTATTATAGTGTTTCTCTATTTTATCTGCCAGTGCTAAGTTGCCATCGCCAGAAAAGAGGATATACCCCCTACGTGAACTTAGACGTTTAACGGAGCCATAAATCACCCTGAACTTTGGTGTACCCTCTTTTAAACAAAGTTATTCAGCATTAAAATAAACCCTGTAGCTAAAACTCTACATGAAAAAGAAACAAAATACAGTGCTGTTGAATAAAATTGACTATTGCATGTATACACACGCACACGCCCACGCACACGCATGCTAACACACAGTAGGCAGGTAGACAGTTATTCTTTAGTTTACCTGAATGAACTCCCTTTATGCAAACTACTGATCATAATACTTATAAACGGTCTACGCATGTGTATTTTATTTATATTGTATACATACAGTGGCCATATTTTCGATTTCCCAACAGAGTCTTCGACTTTTTACCACTCAATATTGAAGTGACAATTTAATCCCCCCTTCGCACCCAGATCCGGCGTGAAATTGGTTCGCTAAATAAAGCTATATAAATATAAAGCGAATAAAGCGAAGACGGAATGAATTGCCTGTACTACGTCTTCTATAGCTGCGTTGCGGATGTCCTGTGCCGCCTATGCCTGGTGAGATTACTTTGCAATTTTTCAGATGAAGACTTCTTCGACATTTATATAGAAATTTCTTACGATAACAGCTCAATAATTAAAAATATAAGTCTAAATTTTTTAAACCTCGTTAAATTTTTACGAACAACATATTTTCAGACAAGGACATCAGTTTTGAAGAGGACGTCTAGCCAGAAGGCTGTGATTGTTATTTCGATTTAATTGCAGGCTTCGAAATTATCGAAATATTTATTTTGTTTGATAATTATCATGGTAATTATCTGATAATTGTCCGATAATTACCCACGCTGATTCATAGTTTTGTATTTTTTTTTAATTATATCTATTTGCCAAGTTTTATTGAAATCGGTTACCGGAAAGTACGCGAAACCGGATTCATGCCCTAGTTTGCTACCTTTAGAGGTGGAATATTTTCTTTAAATGGAAATGGGACCACAACTGACAAAAAAGAGTCATCAAAATCGTTTTTGTATCAAAAATAATTATTACACGTAACATATATACAAAAAAAGCATGCAGTCCAATTGAGAACCACCTCTTTTTTCAAGTCGGTTAAAAATGACAGTGGGGAAAACGAAATAAACACGAAGAAAAGTATTTTGATTTGAGACTTTTTTGAGATTCATATTGATACGTTTGATACGTCGCTGATACAAACACATGACACGACACTGCTAGCGGTGGCATTTTGGTGATCCTAATTGAATTTTAAAAAATGTCAAGATATTATCAAGGTATATTTGTCAAGATAATTATTGTGATAATTAAATTATCATGATATTATATCACTTCGAACCCTGATTTAACGTGATGTTCGTTTATAGACATAAAATATATTTTTAAGGACGACATATTAGTTATTGTGGGAACTGTGTAAGAATAATGGGAATAATGATTTTAAGTATTCAACTAGTAGGTAACGGTTCTATTTATACATAAATCAGTTTTTCAGTTGATTATATCACGCGTAAACAATAACAAAAAGTAATCCGGAGTCTATCCTGGTATATATTCACGTTAATCTACTACATACGAGCATTGACACGAATCTTTTTACTTATTTAAATTAATTTGATAACTATTGTGTGCTAGTTAATTTTGTCAAAAGAGACAACAATGATAACCAAAATATATCGCCTATATCGTACGATATAAATTATCTAGAGTGCCCAATAGCAATAACTTTAATATAATATAAATCCATTACGAATTAATGATTCATTGTCATTATGACTTTATTTAACATCTGAAGGGTCATCAATCATTGTTATCTAGAGCGTGCCAACCCTATTGTGATACTATATTCCTAACTTTGCAATTAAGGAATTACGCATTTACGTTTTAGTTTACCATGACTAACTGAACTTGTGTGTGGTTAATCTACTTTGGCTCGCATTTGTGAACTGCTAATGAAGTTTTACTAATTCGCTCGCTGTGAATGTAAAAGCTCCTAAACTTTTTTAGTTAGCGTGGATGAAACCGAAATTTCATAGGTTAACACCAAATATGTAATTACGTGTTGTGAGCATCACAGAATTTAAAAAAAGTGAAGAGAAACCTTTCATAGATTTCTCACAGATGGCGCTTGGGCAAAAAGTCTTTAAAAACCTAAAATAAATATCTGCAACAAGCCATAGAACAATTCGTAAGGTTTGTTGGTTCGTTCCGTAGCTCAGTTGGGAGGGCGTCAGCTACGGTGTGGTGAAGGCGCTGGTTCTGATCCAGTCGGTTCGCTTGGATTTTGTCTCTGTGTTCGATCTTTGTATTAATAATTTTTAAAATTTTTTCTGTCGGAATAGTGACCTGTCGAATGCATGTGTTATCGAGGTAGTTTTCTGTTGGTAACCTCTGTCCAATGTTTGTGTTGTCACAGCAGTGCTCGAAATAGTGTTTGTCGAAATCAAGAATAACAGATTTAATCTAATCATTTTGTGTTTTTTTTTAAGTTCACAACCTGTTTAGCATATTATGTTAGTAATACTGCATACCAACAATTTCGTTACCTATACAAAAACGCACTAGAATTAGGTTGTGCCATTCCATTTTAGGACCAGACGCTATCAAGCCAAATAGACTAGGAAATTACTAAACAATAAAACGAATACTCAATTTGGTCAATTACGTTTTTATGTAAGCAAATAAACAACAACGGGCTTTCCGAATTGTCAGGTGCGTTCATTTTAATTGGAATTTCGTGTCGAATAAAAGGGGAAGTTAATTTATTTGTATTTCCATTATTGCAATTTTCTTTTTTTTTAAATGTTGCCTTGTGTTGCATAGTATGTGCTCGCTACACCAAAATTATTGACATTACGAACGAAACAATATGCTCACAACTCTATAGGGTACATAGTAATTTTGTTGTCAATTATGTATTGAAGTTTTAAAAGCCTTTGTCTTGCAAATCATGGCAGTTGCCTCTCAGGGTGTCTCCTAGTTATTAGACTGTGGAGTTCGTAAAAAAGTTTCACGAGTGAGAAAATTTCACAACTGTTGGCCATTTGGATTGGTGACTAATTTGTACCAATTTTTGATAGAAACCTTTATTTATATTGTTAATAAGTTAGGAGAATAGTGATACTGCCCTCGTAACGAAAAAAGGCACAACTATGCATACTTTATACGACAGTTGTGCCCTTTTTCATTCCGACGGCAGTATAATATACACATAACTAGCATACGGGAAACTAATTTTATTTGTACCTTTCATTTTCATTCAACATAATTAATTATTATGAGAAAGGCATTTGAACGACAAATTCATGATTTTAAACATCCTACGCCATCTAGCCGTGCCAAACCGTACTATTACAAAGCAAAATTTGTTCATAGAAAGGCACGGCAAGGTTGCGTAGTGAGTTCATCGTAGTCAGCAGTAGATTGGATAGATGTCGCTGACAACCAGTTTGATTTAGTTGCGAACTTTTTTAATATTTCACTTGAAACGTATTTTAGTTTCTTTAAACCTTTATACTAAAGCGATTATAATATGTTAACCTTAATAATTAATAGGAATTACTTTAGAATTGTTTAGCTGTCAAAATGTCGATATCCATAGATTTGCACGCCAATATCGGTAAAATATGAGCACTGTTTTATTATGTATACTTCTATAACCTTTTGTAAACCTTATTTCATAATATTTTAAAGATAACCATACTCCAATTCGACGTGTGAACGTTTACGTACATATGATTTTGACTATGTACATATATTTCTTTGTATCTGTGGTAACGTGTCACTGTAGAGTCATTCTGCTATGTATAAAAAACATAGGATTAATTGTATTTTTATTTTAAAAAAACGATATATAATATAAAATAGGTCTTTGTTACTTTGCAAAACTATAAAACACAGAGATCACTTCTCGCGACTTATAATTACACCAATAAATAATAGATTTTAGAATGTAAATTGAAAAAAAAAATGGCCACCAAGGCACATAAGACAATTGTTCGATTTGTGCTTTCTGCAAATGGAATTCTTACATTAATCGCACATTGACTTCGTCATATTTCTTTCTCTTTGGCTCAGGTGCATTATTATTATTGTACATTAGATATTAGAAATTTTACCATGAACGTTTCGGTGAACCAAAACATCGACATGAAACCGTCGAAGAAGGTTCACAATCCCCGGCAAACATGTGAAGCTCCCAACCCGCATTGGACCAGCGTGGCGGACCGTTTGATTGGACCGGCTATCTGATTGGGTCGGGGTTGCCTAAAACCCTTGCCTGGGAGGTGACCGGTGCCCAGCAGCGGAACGTATAAAAGGGTTCATGGTGATGATGAGGCCTTTAAATCTTTAACTGAATTTCTACATTGCCATTGGTCTATTTTGCTATCTCCTTCACAATGGTTTCGGTTATATAAATACTAAAGTATAAAAAGGTATAAATACTAAAATTCGCTACCATTCCGTTTCGCCGCAATATAAATTGAGCCTGATACGAACGAATTATACCGATTTTTCAAAAACGAATACGTGGATTCGACATAGACTTAAGCCGGATTTACCTCTGTCTGACGTGTCGTGTCGTGACGCGTCAGAACGGTATCGGTTTCATATATCTAATATGGTTACATTTATCAGTGTGCTGCAATCTGACGTGACGGCTTGTGCGGTGTGTGTGAAACCGATACCGTTCTGACGCATCACTACATGACACGTCAGACAAATGTAAATCCGGCTTTACTTTCAGGGTTAAGCCAATATGTACATATCATTCATTCATTCATGTTCTAGTCTAAAGTATTTTGTTGTGTAACTTATTGTTTTTTTCTGAATTTCCCAGGTGACGGCTTCAAACTGGCATCGTCGGGCTCAGGTAGCCCGGCGCCTCCGCCGGTGCAATGGCGTGTGCGGAGAAAGCCAGGTAAAGTACTGTTTTTCACTCAGACCCTTATTCTGCACAGCATTTGCCATATCTATGTAAATAATAAATAAAGCTTATTTTTTATTTAAGCCTTGTGTGTATTATCCCTTAGGTGTATTTGCATTGTGTCCTGTGTACATCAAAATCATTGCAAGTTGTAAACAAAATTTTGAATGTATAAATGGAATAACATAACATTTTTATTTAAAACCGACCTCAAAAGTGTGTTTGGAATGAATACATATATATTTGTCAAGTTTTGAGTTTGGAAATCGGTTAACAGAAAGTCAGTGACATCCAATCAACCGGATTCATCGCCTAATTTGCGACCTTTAGAGTTGGAATATTTTCTTCAAATTTGAATGGAACCACTAATGAGGTACTCCCTAGCCAAAAAAAAGAATCGTCGAATTCGGCTTACAAATGCCGCCGGAGTAATCGCGTAACATACACAAAAAAAAACAGCCGAATTGAAAACTTCCTCCTTGTTTGAATGTTAGGTTAAAACCTTACAATCTCTCTTGCTTTTAATAAAAGTTTAAATCTTGTCATACATTAACGGACAGCTGCTGATATCGAAGTCAGGTTTTCAGGACGAACCGTTATTATGACATCTTTTATTTATGCACATTGTATGTATTTATGCTTAGTTCTTTCTTAGGAGAGGTCTTAGGTATTTTCGTTCTAAATAGAAATGTAGATTATGTTAATGTCTTACAGTCACTCATCGTAAATAACATTATGAGCATAGAAGTAAAGGAATATGTGTATTTATTACAAGGAATAGCTGTCAAAGTTAAGATACAATTAATAATAGTATTAATAATACTTAATAAACATGTCTTTCAGACATCGAGTATATAACCAGAAATAGAGACGAAATAAGGGCCATTCATTCCTGGTAACTCATTAGTGAACTATCAAATCTCGTTTGCACTGAAATGAGACAGCGCCAACAACTGACCTGTGTTTACGTCTCCGTATATTCCAAAAATATTCTGTATTTATTATGATAAAGATAATATCTCTAACAATGGCGTGCTGTTTCATTCGGTGGTGTGGGGAAAAACAGCAAAACATCTAATTATAAAACAAACGGAATCAATTTTCATCGGTAATTAAATATTAAATAAGTAATTTTGCAATTTTCGTCCATTATAGCAAAGCTCAAGTTAACTGATCGATTTGAAGTGAAACAATCGACGACACCCATTGACGACACCCTTCGATTATCGAAGCGCAGTAATGATATGGCAGGATAGTTTTCAAACAAATTAAATGACATTTCATCTCTATTTCTGGTTAAATACTCGATGATTTCAGACAACAAATCCATAGAATGTCAAAATTACATTACATTATTACATCCAACAAATACGATTACTTAATAACTGAGATTGTGTGATTGTGCAGTGTCACAGTTGGGATTAGTCGCAACTGCGATCTATTGCAGCAAATGAACTACAAAATAAATTATGCTTTTTCATTAATCAAATAAATTATTTTTTTATCATTATGCTTTTATAGTTCATTTATTTAGGTACTTAACTAAATGTAAACAATCTTGGTACATCTTTTTATTGAAACATATGTTTCACAAATCAATAGGTATAAAAATAGGCATGCAATTTCATATGAAGCTAAGCATTTGTAGATAAGCAAAAATAATTTTATAAATGTATATTTCATTAAATAGACATCTCAAGATTGTTTACATTTAGTTAAGTAGGTACATACCCGCTCACGCGATACATGCAGCCGTAGACGCATACCACACCTAGAGGTGCCGGTGATGATTTTATACCGATTTATCGGATACCGAAGTTATAACAGGTAAAATAACTAATATTAATTGCTATTTCGGTAACTACTCTAGCAAACCATAAAGTTTTTAATGCTTGGGTCTGTCATTTAAAAAAAATAAACAACTTCAAAAATACGTCACGACAATCGTGTGTGTTATTGTTTGGGCTGGTGATTTCGGTGTTTATTAATTGAAAACATACCATAAGTAGCGTTTTTTACCCTGAATATAAATGTTTATAAACTATACTTTAAGGAGTAATTTCATGGTAAACGTTAGAACCACTCAAACGGAATATTATCATATTTATCCAAGTACACCAAAAATTTCATTAGTGCTTTTTAAGTGCAGGATATGCAGTATATTACTGCATTTTATTTGAGATGTTTTTGTTGGTAGTACGGAGGGTATATATTTAGCAATGCAGAATAATAATTTTTATTTATAAAAACTTGTATTTAAACTGAATGCTTTTCTAATTTGCGAAACCAAATTGCCGCCATTTTGCTGTAGAAGGAGCGCATCGCGTGAGTGGCTAAACAAATGGACTGAATTATTTGAATATAGTACTGTGTAGCCATCGACATCATAACCTATGTGTGTAGCACTCTCTGTCTAAGAGAAGAAACTCTCTTTCTAAACACAGCAGTAAGGCTAGCACGACAGGGCGCAATTTGCGCGAGAGCGACATGAAGCGCAAGATCAATAGTATCTTTCGTGCTAGCTCTACTGCAAGCGCGTTTCCCGCTCGCAAGTGTTTTGGCAATTTAATCATGGCTCTCAATTCTATGCTTGCTTGGTTCAGTTAATCCATAGAATACACGTAAATAATTTCTGACAGTACGCCTTAAAGAGCGATATTTTGTTATGATCTGAACAGCAGTTGTCCTGACCAACATATTACCACGCATTGACAATCCTTTCTCGCTCAATATCATTACTATCACTAAACCTTTCAGTAATTACGTATACGACAAGGGTAACGGAATTTATCTACCTTAACTAACGTACTACCATTCAGACACACATCAGTAGGGCTAGCACGACACACCGCGACTTGCGCGAGATACTGTTGATCTCGCATAGAGATCTCGCGCTTTATGTCGCACTCGCGCAAGTCGCGCACTGCCGTGCTAGCACTCCCATACAGGTACCAAATTTGATCCTCTTTTTGTTATTAATATATTGTATATTAAGTTTTTTATTTATAATACAAAGTGATGGAACGAACGAGTCGTGCGCCTGGTGGTAAGCGACACGCCTATCCATAATAAGTCTCAGAAATATTAGGGACACTGCCACTATACCCGTCACACTGAGACATAAATTGACAAGTCCCATGTACCTCTAATTTCACAAGCACCCTTATTCTTCTAAACCGGAACGCAGTAATGCTTACATTACTGGTAGTTCCCTGGACGAACTCTTAATATAGTGCCAGACAACGACGCCAATAACCTGGTTTCAAACTATGGGATTCCCTATATTATGTGTACCAGAGCAACGTTGTTCGCTCGGAAGCACTACCCAGAACACCCAGACTAGAACCAATTTAAAAAAGTTTATTTACAAAATTGGTCCTATCGGGAATCGAACCCAGAAATTCCTCATCCGGCGCCCACAATGCAAATCGTTGGGTCAACGAGGTCGTCAGTTATTTTGACGTATTTGATTCACTTACGTGCACCGTTTGCTAATTATTTTTGCCTCCTTTGGGTTTTGAAAATGTTACAATGGATTTAGTAATGGACACTACTCGTACCTAGTCAGTATGTTATAATATCGTAGAATGTACTGTTATTGTTAATGCCTAAAGCAGAGGTTCCCAAACTTTTTTGCTTCGTATTCTCTATTTTTTTCTGTTTTGCTTAGACCCCCTGCCTTTATGTTATGGATTCCTTTTTACAAATTGATCAACTTCAAACGTATTTTTGACTGTTAACACACAGCTAACATCACTTTGATAAGTTTAACTGTAGAGTGAAAACAAACACAATATTAAGCTTCATGCACTTATCTAACCAAATGTAGCTCCACATCTTATTTGTTGTGAAATGTTTACTTCATAGGTAATTTGTATGTCTATTATAAGAACGTACCTATTAAGTACATAGGCACTATTATAATGTTGTCGATTATGCTATTTACGTAAAGTCTAAATTTATAGTAGCAGTGGAGCTCCTTGTGAATGAGTTCGTCTAGGGAAGTACTGCCACCTGGCTATTTCGCGCCGTCAAGCAGTAAAGTGACCATTACTGCGTTTCGGTTTTGAAGACTAAAGAGTGGGCGCATTGTCATCGCGGTCACCCCGCGCGAACGCCGTGCGGAGTCCGCGTTGCCGCCGTGCAGCGACCGCGTGCGTCTAACTGTCATGGCAAAATACGCTCTATTTATTTAACTTTTACGTTTTAGCTTAAATGAGCGTTCCGGACACGCGGGCGAAACTGGCTTGAATTTGGTCTACTAATTTGGTATTATTCAGAGGAATTAAAATGTTGTTGCCTAGTAAATGGAATTCGGATTCGCTATTAATCGAAGGCGTGGTAACTGGTCGGTCATCGCGCGGCGGCCGCGCGAAATCTTTCTCCTCGTATAACTGCGCGCTAAGTGTCCTGGTGAAATTACAGGCATTTGAGACGCTCATGTCGAAGGGTGACAGGTGCAGCGGCCCTCAGATCCTTGCGATTTAAAGCTCTGAGTGGCACTGCAACTGCTATGGACAGATATTCGCTTAACACTAGGTGCACGACTCTCGTCGTGTCACTTGGTATCATAAAAAAATAGAAAAGGTTTGGTCACGACCTGCCTAAATGGATTCCACTATTATAGACCTTCATTAACGTCTCATGCACTCCCTATTTTTGATTTCGCTGACATTGAAAATTTTATTGGTTTAAGTGGACCCATGGGGGTCGGTATAGACCACTTTGAGAATCATCGCTCTAAAGGATCGTAGAATTGCTCACATTATGATGTAGCCGGGTTTTATGGATACGACGCCATTACTCTACGTATGTATCTGCGCCTGTTATAGTAAGTACCCGAACTTACAGAATAATCTGCCTGGTCAGATAACGTACCAATGCATTTCCGTAATCCTCCGTACTTAATCTTTGTCTGTTCTTGTTTTAAGCTAGTTCTGAGAGAGCTAGTAAACTTATGATTGAATTTACGTAACTTGGATTCTATACTTGCC